AAATATTTAACTTTCTCTAGCGCGCGCGCGCACGGCGCTGAATCGATTGGAAGTTTACGGACCGGCGGGAGCACGCTGTGCCGCGTGACGGGAACAGAGAGACGGAATTGCTTTTGACGGATTAACTTTTTAAACCAGCTCGCAGGAGGGAGGCATTCTGATTGGTTGTTTGTTGAATAAACTCGTCGTCGCGAATACGGGTTTCATTCAGCCGCGGTTCAATCTCTCCGCTCTTTCCTGACCTCATCAGACCTCCCGCTTGTGCATTGTCGATTATCGTATTATATGTTATACGTATTATACGCACTTCGTGTGCGTCATTTTAAAACGAACAGTAAGATGAAACATTTTCCGAAAAGACTCCAAATTCCACGACATATTGGGACATTTCCAGCATAAACGTCACTCTTATCTCTGCCGGCCTTTTGGTGGTATACGCGTTCCACGATCATGACATATACGTATATATAACTTGGTTCAATTTACATATGTATTTTCTGCTCACGGAGAGCGCGGAATGCCAAGGGAGAGACCGCGCCGCGGAGAGAAAGAGAGGCAGGGAGTAACGAGAGGGATGCGCCGCGAATTGTGAGACGTGTAGAGGGGGTTGGGGGCTCTGGTCCTTTTTGTAATTCATCGCGTTTCACGGCCGGCCGCATTTGAACCACTTAACGATGCTCTTGCGCCGGCGAAAGGTTTGCTCTGTGCTCGTGCGCAAATAGCGTCGACGAGAATATTCCAAGGCACAAAGCGCGCCGGGCAAACGTTGTTTGTCGATTTTCCAACGAGAATCGGCCGATCAACGATTTGCATATCCGTCGAATATCGGCTCCTCCGGATTGCGCGCTTGTGGCGAACCGACGAACGGAATTAGTTCCAGCCTGTAGCCGCAGGTATCGTACGTACGTGCGTATGTATGTACTTGTATTAGCCGACCGCGAGATATCGAAACACCGGTAACGAGACGCAGACCAAAGGACGTCGTCGTAATAGGACGCGGAGGAAGTCTGATCGTCCGGCTTGTTAGACCGACGCGACGTTTTGCGCTAATACCTTTAATCCGGCCCGATGATTAGATGGAATTAAATGAATATTCGCGTTGCCATCTTAATCGCCGTACACCAAGCTCGCCAGTGGGACGATAGCGATCGTCGCCATCCTAATTAGCGGATTATCGTCAAACAAGACATGTCGCAATAGTTACGTCAGGTCGAAGAAATGCACTAACGATTCGGCTGTGTCGATTTTGTCAGGTGAATGTTGGGATTGTGTCACGAGGATAATTACTGAAAACTGTCAGAATCTCTCTTTACGACACCGCGGTGTCACCTAAAAGTGCGATAAACATTGGCGGCTGCATTTCATCAAAATTTATTTTCCGGAATGCCGATGAAACATTGATTGGTTGCATATTTACCACTTGCTTCCCCGCACACAGCTTCCGGGCAGCTATAAAATAATATGTATTTGTCTAGGGAATAGGGAGGGGGGAGTGCGCAAACCGAAGTGAATAATTTGCAAAACGCGGAATTAACGCGACAAATGTCATAAAAGCAATATTCGATTAAATGCGAACGTACGAGTCATCTAACGAAGCAAGTATTCGTGCCGAACAATTAGTTATAATTTGCATAAATATGTTCGATACGCGGAGGAATAATACACGGAAGGAAAAATTAGCTGCGACGTCTCGTTGCGGATATCTAAAAGTGTAGTTGTTAATAAACATATATTTAGTCGCGAAATCGATATAGCAGTGGCAAGAGTTTTACTTACACTCGAGAGAAAAAGTATCTGCGAAATAAGAAGTATTTCTTCGATGGGCAAACAACATATCTACTTGTATTGATAAACATGTTTTTACATTGAGAAAAATTTTCCGTCAAATGAGAGGACATGTATTTCCTCAAGACACCGTCGCACTTTTCGTGGAAGCAATTGTTTATTTGATTCGAACAGAAGAATTTAAATTTAAGTAAATGTGCTGTTGATATCCTTACCAAATAAATATCTTTGATTTGTCGGATATCTTCTTTCTCAGTCTTACAACAGCAGCGAGAATACATTCTCAGCAAACTATGATTAGCTATGTCTAAGATCTTTCTTTTTTCTATGTACGACGCCTGATACGATATTGTCGATACACGACGAGATAAGTGGTGTTTCGTGCGACAGACGGGGGTTGCGAAAAAAGCAAAGAAGAAGGAACGGTTTGGCGTTGACGATGCGACGGAGAAAGTATTTTTCGCCGCGAACTGCCACTCACTGCGAATCTCTCGGCACGCTGGCCGCGTCATTATGCTTCCTCGATATCGCGCATTTTCTCGTAACCTTCGGTCGTTCGCCATTATCGCGGCGATCCGTCAACCCCGTAATTAGAACGACGAACATAAGGGAGAGTGCTCCGTCTCGGCGACGGCGGGCGAATATTCTTTTTTCTCGCTTTTATCAAGTGGTTGACCCGCCGACCTCGATCGTGAGGGCGGACAAAAGGGACCGAGGGTGATATTTTTTTATGTCCCGCTCGTTTTTCACGCCCGCCGTAATATCGCCCGTCAACTTTACCAAACTCGCCCCGACTGCGATGTCTCTCCGCGCGCGTCTCTTCATCCCTCGCCATCCACCTGCCGCTGTCGCCCTCGCCGGTGTGTCCCTCTCCCTCGTTCTGTATATATATATTTTTTTTTTCGTTTCCGCCTCTGCCGCGGCGCGCCAGACGTTTTTTTATCTCGTGCTCCGGCAATTTATTTGGCTGATCGTTCTTCCGAGAGTTGGCCATAAAAGTCGTTACACCGGCCAATCGTGTCCATCGAATCGTTTTGTTCGTTCGATCGCACGCGTGACGCGACTCCCGGATAATGTCCGGCGAGGAAATGACGGCAAGTAAGAGAAATCGTCCTCCACTTTTTTTCCTCCTCCTCCTTGGCCCCTTGCGCTTTTCGTTTTTGCCCTATTTGGCTCCGAAAATACCGACGAAGGCGTTTTTCATAAATGCCACCGACTTTCCCGAGCGGCCTGCTTTATTGCGACTGAGAAAAGGCGGAGATTGTCGGACGCTGATCGCTGCGCTATTTTAGTTTCGCAGGACATTTCGCAAAACCCCTTTTGTCCTTGGTTAGATCGTTCACTCGTTACGGAGGACACTCGTCCGTTATGACGCTATTCGGCTGCGCCGTAGCACATCTCTCAGGTTTGATGTATTCGGAAATATTTCCCATATAAAATAAAGCACGCAATAAAGCCGTGAATGACACGTCTTAATTCGCGTAATAAAATCGTCGCGATACGCATGTACTAATAAGCTAATAAATTCTGCAATAGCGAAAGATGGAAATTACCCCCCGCGACGTTAACTGAACGAAGGCGCGGAGAAAAAGAGAGAGAAAGAGAGAGAAGGAGAGGAGGCAGACAGAAGGAGAGAAAAAGAGACACTTCTATTCAGTTTATCTCGTAATCATAGCGCAAACTTTATAACTCCCCTGTCGTCGTCGCAAGGAGAAAACTTACATTCCTACTGAGGAAATAAATATTCCAACGAGCGCGCGTTCTCGATGTTGCCCCATGAAAATACCACGAATGTCGTCGTCTGCGGCCTCCTTTTCTTTCCACGCCGGAACAATGGCGCGACATCCGCGGCCACCAGCCGCGAAAACAAAGGGAGACGGTTTCTTACGCGCCCCGTCTGTTTTCTCGTTACATTGTCCCGGGAAACACGCTTAACTTTCGACGCGGGCCGCTCGCCTCGCCTCGACGCGGCGATACGGCGGCGCGCAGCCGCGGTTCCATTACGGCGACCTGGCCGCTCGGCAGTGCAACAGTTTTACGCCCGGAAGTAACGCTTTCTTCTCCTCGATACGCGGCGCGCCGTAAATAATGCCGGCGGCGGGGTGCGAGCAGCGGAAACGCGAGGATAATAATTCGTGAGGTCGCGAAAATGCGGCCGCGACCGTCTCCGCACTCATCGCAGCGGACTCGGTGTAATTACCGCGAGCGCGTTATCTGCGAGAGCTCCGAGCTCTCTAGTCCGATTATTAGACGACTGAGATAAGACGATTGAGTACATCGCGGGCCAAAAGGCTGCGCCAAAAGGCTGGGACGAACTACGAGTTTGCGATGTGGGCGACTTGCACGACAATCGAAATTGAGATTGCAGCGCGATGCCGCGCATGGAGCTCAGCTCATGACGAACACCGTACCATTAATCTCCCCGTAATTGCGCTTCTTTGATTTAGCGCACTTGAGGGAGCCCGCGGAGTCATTACATCAATATTAAACTATCAAATTCATGCATAATGCACGATCGTTCGTACAAATTGAACTTCAGGTTTTCACTCGCACCGCGATCAGGAATGAATTAATCATCGCCCTAGGTAGCGGTATTACCGAATGGAATTAAAAGGACGTCGTTTTAATTTCGCGCCATTACTACTTCCGTCTCATCCGCCACGGTTTCTCATTGTTCTTACGTTCTTTCATTCAACTGTCGTCGTGTATTAAGAGAAAAGTGGTAAAAGGTAAAAATACCAATTCCCAGAAGGGTATCTGATTCTAGACATTCTTAACGTGGAATATATGTGTATATTCAATACATACATATTTCTTTTATGTTGACAGTCTCAATATCCATGTTTAAAAAGCAAAACAATAAGAATGTCCGGGATTAGATGTGTTCGGACATTGGTACTCTTTTACTTTATTTATAATATCATTTCACAATACTTCGTGGAAGACTCTCTCTTCTCCTTTTAACGCGATAATGAGATATGCCGTTATCCATTAGATTGTATCTTGTAAAATCGACTGGAAAGAACCGTCGCGGTTTCTTCACGATTGTTATCGCAAATCGCGGAATTTTCGCATGATTAATATGAGAAACGATTAATACGAGATTAGCTCGTTTCTCATTTCGGAGCAGTTGCCAGCAGCTTCGGTAGCTCCACGGGATACCGTCAAGACGAAGGAAAAATTCTCCTCTGACGCGTTACGCTCGTCTACGTTACCTTCTTTCGATCCTCTCGTTTTACTCGCGCACCATGTGCACCAATTGTCAGAGTGAAAATACGCTTTTCCGCTTCTTATCCTGACATCGGGCGTCAACCTCGTGAAATCCCTGTGAAGAGTACTCCTTTATCCTCGTACCGTCACCACTACGTCTCCTCAATTCGCTCACCGACTCGATCGGTTCGAGTTCCGTCGTTCGAGAGATCGCTCGAGAGGAGGCGCGGATCTGCGTCGAAAGCGGCCGCGACGAGGAACTCGCGAAAGAAGCCGCCGCTGCGCGTGCAAATCACTCGCGACGTCGAGCCAGGTGAGAGATTTTTTTGCGTGCACTTGCCCGTCACAGGGTCGAGAAACGTAGAGTGATTCGGACGAATGGTCGTAACGCGCACGCGATCTATTCGCCGTCACAACATCCACGTCGACGAGCTCTACGACGACGTTGACTTCGTCACAAACCGGGCGAATTTCGCCCTCGAGCAACGCAAGACTACGCAAGAAAGTATCCGCGCCGTCCGTGACCCCGCACGTCGACACGCACCAGCACAGAATTCACATACGACGACAAAGCTTCCTCACTGATCACGAGACGCACCAGGAGTCCTCTCCAACACACTCGACGTATAGAGATCGCAGCGACGAAGCGGCGATCGAACGAGACGCTTCATCAAGGCCGAGAGGCTCTTGCTGGGGATTCTGTGCTCAACGGAGCATACATGACACCAGATATCAGCGTATCGAAGCTCGTGGTCTGGCCGGACTGTCGCTCTCGTTTGGTCGCCGCTCGAAAATCCTTGTTCCCGGCATGAGCGCGATGTGAGTCGCGCCAGCACGGACGGTACGCACGAAGTAAACCAAGGGAATGAGAGGAGATACAGAAGACAGAGAGACACTCCGAACTGACAGATTAGGAGAATGGACGATCGACCCGGAGGATCGTGATAGAGCGCGATCGTCGTCCTCGCGCTGCCGGGAAGCGGCGGTCCTTCCGCGCGCGCGGCAATGAGATCGCCGGATGGAACAAGTGGAAAAGCCCCCGGGCCGGGCGGGCACGGTGCAAGTAGAAAAAGTCGACGCTGATGTCCGGCCGTCGTTGTGGCGCGCGGCGAGCCACTGACTGCCTCCGCCAATTCCACGCCTTTCCCTGTCCACCCACTACCGTGCACCGCCACCTATACTTCCACCCCCACTCTAGATCCTTTCGTCTCACCCTCACCCTCACCCCTGCGCACCCTTTCGTCGACGACCGCCGGCGCAAACGCCACCAACGACCCTCTTCGCCCCGCGCGCGCGATTCGACGCCACTGTTTCGGTCGTTCTCCTGGCACGGAACCCGATGCAGTCTCGCTCCTCCTTTCGCGAAGGCCGTGCCCGCAGGCCCTTTTTCTACTTTTGATGGCTCTCACCCCGCTAACCCTCTATCCCATCCTCTCTCCGACCTATGTTATAATTTAGACCTTAATCTCGAAAGAGCCCTTCCTCGAGATTGCGCGTATTTTATTAAGCGGTTATCAAGAAGCTATAGCCTAATCGGCTTACTGACAATTACCCGGTTAGGGTGGAACCGCGAGATCGGTGTCCGTGACATCTGGTGTGACGTGTTGGCTACGCAATGAGATGCGGGCGCATCGACGCGCGTTCTGCATATCGAATGGAGTTACTACGAAACTGAATAATATATATAAAGTATCATAAGTTTACGTTAGGCCTGTTTCCGAGTCGAAATTTCGATCCTTTCGACCTCAATATTCCATTTAATATCTACTTTCATGCTCCTTATATCAAGCTCTTTTAACTCCATTTAACTTACCAACTTTGCCGAGAGGTCCTCTTTAGACACTGAGAGAAAAGATCTAAAAACTGATAAATATTTATTTGTTGAAGTACTAACAGCATATTTTTACGTAAATCTAAATTCTTTTATTTAAATAGAATAAATAATTGCCTTCACGAAAAATATTAAATTTTCTTAAAATTTAATATTTAAATTAAATTTTCAAGAAAATGTACATTTTTTTATTTAAGAAATATTTTATTTTTATATGTATAAGCAAATATGTGCCGCTGTAATACCACAGATATTTATCACTTGGATATTTTTTCTCTCAGTGTACATACAAGATTGATATTTTGTGTTTTCTACCATTTATAGAGACGTTAAGTAGGACGTCAGTTTCCATATGTACTGAACGTACACTGATGATTCAGAATATATACACGTTAGAAGATTTATGTCGCAGATAGGGCTAAAATTTCGACTCGGCCTCTTTTTGACTAAACTTATCTTACTCACTGAAACTTTGTCCCTTTTGCCTTCAAAGCTAAACATATGTTTGTTTCATCTCAATCCGTTACAAAAAGTGCAACTCCAGTTAAGAGGAATAGGAGTTGTAACACCGCATGTCCGAATCAACGATGCAATCTCGTTGAGCAAATTTGCAAGGAGCTGTAGACGTTTGTATCCTGGCTGAAAAGCGTAACTCATAACATTTTTGGAGAGCGACCTCGTGTCTTAGAGCTAGTTGTTTCTCCCTTCGAGGAGGTCATGCCCGCGAACAAATAGTCACGACTATTTTCGACTGTAAGCTTACGAGTTACAGCATTTACAGAGTTCACGGCGGGACACATTTCGCACTCGGACGCTTAAGGGGGGAAATCCAATTAGAACTTTCAAAAAATCGAATTTTTTTTTTTTGCATAAAATGTTTATTTAACATTGTAAGAATATGTTCCCAACGTTTTAAATCGAAATTCGCAGCCGTTCGGAAGTTATGGCCTCCGAGCGCAACAAATCTCTTGAGCAGCGTCGAGGCTCTAATAGCACGCAGCAGGTATACTCACCCGGAGCGGGGATTTTACCTTTCAGGGCTGCGATCCAAAACGTATAGAGATGTAATTATAGTTTTACTGTAGGTTTTGGAACGCACCCCTGGTAGATGGCTTTTATTTCTATTGTTACGTTTAGTCGAAACCGTTGGGTCCGTTGGCGCTGGCATCGAGCAGAACCGGTTTTCAGTTTAGCTCCGAAGTTCGGCCTGTACAAAACGACAGTGCAAATTCGAAATGTCC